TCCTTCCTTCCTTCCTTCCTTCCTTCCTTCCTTCCTTCCTTCCTTCCTTCCTTCCTTCCTTCCTGTGTGTCAGGACCTACATAATGTGGGTCAGGTTCGTGCTGTCGTGGTGGCCACGAAAAGGAGATGCTCCAGACTTTTGGATGTTAAGGTCTCCCAATGTGCCTCCAGCTCAAGCAGCCTCTGGAGGTGCACCCCAACATCCCAAACAGTTGGAGACCCTACCTTGACCCTCCTCCTCTCCCCCAACCTCTCCCCCAGATATCGACGAGTGCCGGATCTCGCCAGACCTGTGCGGCCATGGTGCCTGTGTCAACACGCCCGGAGGTTTTGAGTGCGAATGCTTTGAAGGCTATGAGAGCGGCTTTATGATGATGAAGAACTGCATGGGTAAGGAGTGGACCCAAGGGGGTGGCGAGGACATAGATTCCTTTACTGACCGTTTGAAGTTTACAACGGCAGCAAAAAACGGCTTTTATGACCATTTTTCACACCTGCGACTGTTACCCCATCCCCACAGCCACGTGATCAAAATTCAAACACTTGGCAACCGGCTCACATCAAAGATGGGGTGACATGATTCCCTATTGCGGCCTTCTGACCATGGGGAAAGCCAAGATTCACTTAATGACCGCATGTGACTAACTTAACAGTGGTGGTGATTCACTTAACAACTGTGGCAAGAACGGTTGTACAATGGAGCAAAATTCACTTAACAACTGTCTCACTTGGCAATGGAAAATTTGGACTCAACTGTGGTTATAAGTTGAGGACTACCTGCACTGCCCTTTTTTGTTCTTTTTTTCCTCTCTCTCTCTCTCTCTCTTTTTTGGGGGGGGGGCATTCTCCATTTTCCAGGGTGCTTCAGCACTAATGTCTCTTGGTTCTTGACCTTTCCCGGATTTGATTTGAATCTCCTGGTCTCTCCTTTCCTTCTCCACATGGAGCTCTGATCGATATTTGGCCATGCTAATCATTATGTGGCCAGCATGGGAAATTAAGGATATTGTGCAAACTCTGTTGCGTCTCCCATCTTAGGTGCTGGAAAGTGGATTGGCCCACCTGCGGCATTCTTGTGCAGATGCTAGGTGTGCGATCCAGGCAAGACGCAGCACTGACGTTCGATGGCTGCCTGCAGCTTTGAGCTCCTTTTGTTTAATCTAATTGATTGGTCATTAGAAATTCTGTTTATGTATAGTGCCACACAGCAAACGAAGAGTACAGTCACCATGTGCTTTACTGCTCAACTATTTTAACTGTAGCAGGAAACAGGAAACTCTGCTCAGAACAGAAGAGCATATATAGAATATATACCATAGATCCAAACTTGTAAACACTACCATCTACTGGCAGAATACTACTGTGGTTGTTGCATAAAAATACATTCCAACATTGATTATGTGCCATCCAGTCATTTTCCACTTCAAAAGACTACACAGATGGATTATTTGTATAAATAACTCAAGGTGGAGAACATATGTAATTTTCCTTCCTCCTCCTATTTTCCCCATAACAATCCTGTGAGGTGGGTTGGGCTGAGAGAGAGCAACTGGCCCAAAGTCACCAAGCTGGTTTCCATGCCTAAGGTAGGATTAGAACCCATAGTCTCCTGGTGATTGGCCCAAAGTTGCCCAGTTGATTTTTATGCCTAAGGCGGGACTAGAACTCACGATTTCCTCTTGATTGGTCCAAAGTTACCCAACTAGCTTCTATACCTAAGGCAGGACTAGAACTCACCATCTCCTGGTGAGTGGCCCAAAGTCACCCAGCAGGCCTTCATGCTTAAAGCAGGACTAGAACTCACAATCTCCTGCTTTCGAGGCCAGCATCTTAACCCCTGCACCAAACTGGTCCTCTAGTTTAGTCCTTGACTTATGACTGTAATTGAGCTTGGAATTATGGTGGTAACTTATGGCAGTTGTTAAGCAGGTCATCACAAGACCACCTCCGATTTTATGACCTTAAGCCTAGGCTGCAGTCATTAAGAAACAACAACACAACTGTTCGTTAAGCAAATGCAATAGTCATTAAACGAACCCATTTTCTTCATGGTGGGGCTTTGGAAGTAATTGCCAGAAACTGGCAAAAAAGGCAGACAGTCACGATGGCGAGGCCAAGGGATGCTGCCAACAGCCATAAATGTGAGTGGGTCACCAAGGGCTCAAAATATAAATAAGTGACCCTTGAGGCGGGGACAGGACGATCCGAACTTCAGGTCTTAAGTAGCTCTGTGGAAGTCCGTTGTAACTCTGAACAGTTGCTAAGCAGTGGGTCATGTAGGAGATATAGCAATAGCACAGACTTATACACTGCTTTATAGTGCTTTTACAGCCCTCTCAAAACAGTTTACAGAGTCAGCCTCTTCCCCAACAATTTGGGTCCTCATTTTACCCACCTCGGAAGGATGGAAGGCCGAGTCAACCTTGAGCCTGGTGGGATTCGATCTGCCAAATTGCAGTAGGAACAGCTTGCAGTACTGCACTCTAACCACTGCGCCACCGAGGCTCCTACATAACTCTTCCAGGGATGGTATTCAGCCGGTTCGCACCGGTTCAGGTGAACTGGTAGCAAGGATTTGGCATGGGCCATCGAACCGGTAGTAACTTTTGGCTGGCCACGCCACTGATCCAGTCGCCTGGTCACCGCTCGCTCACTCACCCCGGCCGGCCCACTTAACGCTCACCCGCCCAGTCACTCCTTAAGGTATTTGATATTTTTCCCTCCCAATGATCAGCTGTTCCTAAGATCAGCTGTGTCGGGATCCCCCTCACTTACTTACTGCTTCGCCCATGAGGCTTCCCTGAGGCCCAGGAAGGCAAACAATGGAGGGGCCCCCAAAATGAAGTGTGGGTGTGGGTGCTGCGTGCCCCTCCTATCCTCCATTTTCTGCCTGACTGAGCCCCAGAAGGCCCCCCCAAAATGGAGGCGGAGCGCTGCAAAAAAAAAAAGAAACCATACCCACCCAGTCACATGGCCACACACCCCAGCCATGCCCACAGAACCAATAGATTTTTGTTTTTAATGTGAAAAACTGAATAAAGTCTGTTTAAAAAAAAAAAAAAGAACCAATAGTAAAAAAAAATTGAATCCCACCACTGAACTCTTCGTCTTGTCTCTTAACTCGGCTAGGCTTTTAAATCTTCCAGATATTTTTTTAACAAAGTTTTTTATTTTTATTTTCCATACATATCAATGTGTGGACAATATAACACCTGGATGTTTTTCATTTTAATGCAATTAATATAACACTTAATATATTTATTATTTCCAAAATTCTCATTGTTTCATTTTCAGTATTTCAGTATCTTATTTGCATACCCATCCTTACATTCAAATGTCTTCCTTTAACATCCAATAGCATGTTAATAATCATGTGAGCTTTTTTTTTTACAATCTTATTTCATTCTAACTTTAATACACATCTTTATATTCCATTATAGTATTCTGTTCATTTATGTATTCAATATTTCATTGTATTAGTTCTTTTATGCTAATCCTCATGTTATTCTAATATACTTAATATCATCCTATTTAAATTCTAGCTTCCTTTTTTATGCATCATCTTATTTTTAAGGAAGTATATTCCATTATTTCCCCTCTCTGCAATTCCACCCCAATTCTAACTTTCAGTTATGCCACTACAATCCCCAAAAATATTCCCTAATAGTTTTTTCTAATATAACATTTCATTTATCAAATATATCCTTCCTTGTACCACAAATAAAACATCAGTAATCATATTGAATACATTTAATAAGTCCTTGTAGCTCTACTAGTACCCTGTTTCTCCAACAATATGGCCTCCCCCAATAGGAAGTCCCAGCATGTTTTATAGGCATGAAATGAAATTAAGCCCCTCCCCCCAAATTAAATTATATTAAAACATGCGAAATGTGAGGGAATGGGGGGGGGCTTGCCGTTAGGAAGTACTTTTGTTGCACACCCGGATATGGTGCTGCCTGCGTTGACCCCGATACGAAGTGCCCCACCAACGCCGAGGTCAACATCCAAGCCATCGCCGCCCGCCCGCCCGAAGATGCAAGAATTAAGTCACCCCCAAAAAGACGACCTAGCAATTTTTTCGGGGCTCAAAAAAAAAATAAGACCCGGCCTTATTATATGAGAAACACGGTAATAATCCTATTCATATTAAATTCCAAACTTCTATTATTTAATCAATATTTCAATACCTTATTTTTATACTAATCACCGTTTTTATCATTCAAATTCCATTTCATATATTCCGTTGTTTCCCCCCCCCCTCTAATTTCCAACCCTATTCTGGATTTAATTATATCTTAATTGGAGAAAGAAGAAGAAGGAAAGGTAAATTGAGAAAGAATAAAGTTTTTAAATCTTCCAGATATCGATGAATGCGAGCGAGACCCTCTCCTGTGCCGAGGAGGGGTCTGTGTCAACACCGAGGGCAGCTTTGAGTGCCTTTGCCCTCCGGGGCATGAACTGACCACCGAGGGCAACGTCTGCGTAGGTGAGTTGTCCATTTGAGACATTTTATTTTACGAATGGGGCGGATGGGGAAAAATTCAATCGGAATGGGGACTACGCCACTCTTTGCAACCTTCAGGGGCGTCCCTGGAATCGTCTTTGCCGGGGTGGGGGAGAGCACAACAGCAGCGAAGGGATCTGACCCTCCCCACTTGGGCTGGGAGCCACCCATATGTCACTGGCCAGGCAGGCTGGGACACCGAAGGCTGGACTGGAAGGACGCAGGGGCTGGTCTGGATAGATGAACCTGTTCCAGTTCTTAGAAAGATTCATTGGCATCAGTGCCCTGTTGTTTGCCTAGTTTAATGCCCGGTCTAATCAGGGAATTTCCTCTCCAGCCAAGTCCCGGCCAACAGTCTTTCAAGAGAATTCCCAATTACAAACCTTTCTCAAGCTTGGAGAGGTGCCAGGCCGATATCTTTCAGACGCCACAATACTTAGCAAGAATTCAGGAATGAACTCATTGTCTCCTGCAAAGCCACGCTCTCCTTTTACTCCTCTTTTATTCCCTAGGTCCTGACCCAAACCCTTTTTCCATAAGACAAACAATAACCAAAGGGAACAGAGACCTTTTAATGATTCTTATGAATCCCCGGTTAAAAGGCTGCTGCAAACTAATTAACTTTGATAAGCACGAGCCTTGCCAAAACTGTGCAAGGCTGCCAAGAATAAGAGATAAGAAATATTTTACAATACAAGAGTCTTCAAATACCAACTTAAGATACTGCAATGTCCACAAGGCTGGAGTTTCAAAACTGTCTTTGCTTCCTGCAAAGAACGTCCGATTCACAGCTGGCTTTTATCTTCTTGAAGGAGGGGCCATTACCTTGGAGCCTTACTCCCGAGTCGCCCGTGCTGCTGCAGCTGCTCTTTCCTGCAAGCAACCCTGCGCGCATGCGCACTTGGCACAGGCTCCTCGGGAACCTCCTCATCACTGCTGCCAGCCCACACAATCTCTGAAGGCAGCAGTCCACTCTCCAATGGTCCTGGACCCTCATCTGAGTCCTCGCTCTCCTCAGCTGTCTGTACCTGCTGCCGACTAACCACAACACCCTATGGGAGACGCCATTCACTGTGCACCTGCGGCTTTATTCCTAAATCGGCTCTTGTTCCTGAGCTGTTCCCTTCTTCTGGCAGCTCTGTGCATGTGCACATCGGGAACAGGCTCCAGCTGTTCTTCTGCCTCACTGATGTCCAACTCCGAAGGCAGCTGAAAACTGTCAGACGGCCCAGGCCCCATCTCTGCCTCTGACGCAAAGCCCTCATCAGAGCCCTCCCCAGACTCCAGGGCTGGCCCATATTCCTCACCAACCTCCACATTGACCGAGTCACAGCACAACCCTGACACCCTTGTTTTCGCAGATATCAACGAGTGCTCCCTGAGTGACAGCCTGTGCCTAAAAGGGCGCTGTGTGAACGTCATTGGCACCTACCAGTGTGCGTGTGACTCCGGATACCAGGCCACCCTAGACCGGCAGGGCTGTATTGGTGAGTTTTCCTACTTACTTCTTCCTTTTTTGCAAGATCCAAGGACACACACAGTTTGGAAAAGTTAGCTGGAGGGGAAATCTTCCCTTGCTTTCCAAAATCCAGAGCGGAGGACGCGTTGATGGGCTCCAAACAGCATTACACAATAAGATGGAAGAACCCCAGTCTTTCAAGAGGGGCAGGAAAGGATGACGCAGGGAAATCACTTGGAGAATAGCCAAACAGGACAGGGCAGATTCGGGATCCTAAAATTTTACCCGGGTTTGGGGGAGGAAGAGGAAAAACTCGGTGGTATTTCCTGGAGGTCGGCATGGCTGGCCGGATCTGATCAGAGGCGCTTCAGGATTTCTCCTGTGGTTCCCTAGAGCAGGGGTCTCCAACCTTTTGGATTTCAGGGAGCACCAAACTCATAATTTTAAATCCCAAAGTCCAGAAACCCTGGGAAACCCCCAAAAAATGTCTGCAGGAAAATTCCCCACCCCGCTTTCCTACTGATCGATCGTTCTTTATTTGGGATCGCAGAATACCGTCTCCAGCTCTGTTCTCAGGGGGAGAGAGAGGAGAGAGACTTTTGGCTTCGTGCAAGGAAAGCAGCAGAAGCAGCAGAAGTCTTTCTTTCTCTCCCCCAAACTCCGCCAGAAAGGAGTCTTCGTGAAACTTGTCGCACCAGCGCAGCCTCTTGGAGCAGGAGGCCTTGCAGCATCCCAAAGACTCATTTCTGGAGGAGTTTGGGGGAGAGAAAGAAAGACTTTGGCTGGTTTCCTTGCATGCAGCCAAAAGCAGAAGAAGGAAGAAGCAGAAAGAAGCAGCCCGGTGGCCAGGCCAGGCGAGTGGGGCAAGTTCTCCCCCTCCGCTCTTTCCCCCCCTCCCCTCACTACCTCGTGTTGTTAGCAATGCAAGCGATGCAAGCCTTGTGTTCCCACGGGCCATGTGGGTGGGGCAGCCTTGTGTTCCTGCGCAGCCTGGATTAATTGCTTTGGGGGGGACATTTCTCTGTGGAGCACCAACATTTTCTCATGGGCCACCTGTAGTCCCTGGCCCACTGGTTGACGATCACTGCCCTAGAGGTAGACCTGGCTTTAGAACCATTTATTTAGCAACCCAAGGTCTTCTCTACACCATGAGCCACCTCATGCTCCACATAATGACTGCAGCGGGGAGACACGGTGTTGCATGGGGGCCTTGTTTAATGACAGCAACCATTTAATAACTGTAGTTCTGGGCTCATTTGTGCTCGTAAGTCGAGAAATACCTGTATTTTGTTGGTGGTAGGAAGGCTACTGCTTCTATGAGGCCACTCCTCCCCCCATGAGGCCACTCCCCCTTCCGTGAGGCCACTCCTCCCTCCATGAGGCCACTCCTCCCTCCATGAGGCCACTCCTCCTCCCAGATTGCCTGGAGGCCTCCCCAAATTCTATTGTTTCATTTATTTCATTTTGTTATTTTATTTATTCGCCACACAGCCAAACGGATCTTCAGACTGGATTTGGCATTTTTGTCTGCCTATCTCTCGAGTCCTTTCCAAGGACTTTGAATAGACAGATGGGGGTGTTTGGATGGGGCTGTTATAAATGTAAGGATGTAAGCTGTTCCAAAATATTTTGTTTTGTTTTGTTTTACTTTATTTTATTACTATATCATATCACATCACATCATATTTTATTTTATTTTTATTATTATATTTTATTTTTTATTATATATATCATATCATATTTTTATTTCATTTCATTTTATTATTTATTTTATTATATCATATCATTTCTTTTATTTATTATATTATATTATATTATATTATTTTTATTATCATATATTTTTATTTTATCATATATTTTTTATTATATTTTATTTTATTATCATATACCTTCATATCATATTTTTATTTTATTTTATCATTTATTTATTATTATATCATTTTATTTCATTTATTTTATTTATTATCCCTTTTATAAATAACCTGAATTATCACGGCACCCGATTGCTTCACCCCGCAGATATCGACGAGTGCACCATCCTGAATGGCGGCTGCGACACGCACTGTGCCAACGCTGAGGGAAGCTATGAGTGCAGTTGTGGGGAAGGCTATGCACTGATGCCGGATAAGCGGTCGTGTGTGGGTGAGCAGCTGGCCAGGGATACTGCAAAATCCCATTCCCTCCCCACCCCACCCCACTAACCTGCTTTCCAGCTCCGTTCTCCTGTGCAGGGCAACCAAAGAAGACCCAGCCAATCAGCTGGGACTCGATGGGAGGCAGAGAAGAGATGGGGTTGGTGGGGCCAGTCAGAGGTGGGATCTGCTGGTTCTTCAAACTACTCAAAATTTCTTCTACCAGTGGGCATATCTCCAAGTGCAGAATAGGTATAGACAAGATAAGAAATAATGCAGAATTGATACAAAACTACATAAATTAGATAGAATTTTAGTAGGCCTAGACAAAAAAAAGATAGCAAAATTTTATAATTATCTATTGGAGATAGAATTAGAGGAAGAAATAGTCAAGGGTAATATGATAGCTTGGAGTCGAAACATAGGCCGTAATATTACTTTAATAGAATGGGAGAATCTCTGGAATAGAAATAATAAAGTTACAATATCGGCAGCATACAAGGAAAATGCCTATAAAATGTTCTACATTTTCTGCCTTCTGCACAGAGGTGGATTTGAAGCTGTACAGATGCAGATAGATAACTCAACAAGATGTCCATAACAAATTACATTTATTGGTTCATCAGGTATCCTCATAACTCACGTTTGTGATGAAGTTCTTCTATAATGACCAATCCTTTGTATATATCTGCCTTGTAGTAAAAGATGGTTATCTCCTAACCCATCTCGTAGCGATAGAAAGAAGCTGCCATGAGTTAGAGAGTTCAGGCAAAAGTGAGGAAAACTCCCCCAACCCATCAAGGGTCAATTCAGTGACCAATCAGGATTACAGTTGTGGGCACGTGACATGGACTACATTTCCCAGAATACCTTTAATTACATTTACCATGATGCATTCCCTTAAGGAGACAGCTCATAATTCCTAAGTAACTATCCATTTCCCGTAGACTGGCTGGGACAGCACACTACAGATGGCACCTCCCCCCTTCAAGACTGGCGAGGATGTATCCCAACATGAGCCCAAAATGGTGGAAGTGCAAAAAAAAGGAAGGAACATACGACCACATGTGGTGGTCCTGCAAAGAATCCCAAAAATATTGGCTGAGAATTAAAAAATGGTTGGAAGAAATTACAAAGGAACAAATTGAATTAAAACCAGAATTATTCTTATTAGGGATATTTAGGAAGAAACATGGAAAAAAAGTTAAATACATAATATTACATATATTGACAGCGGCCAGACTGGCTTTTGCTCAATGTTGGAAACAGGCCTTCACTCCACCAGAAGAATTGATAATTAAAAGATAATGATTTGTGCAGAAATGGATAAATTAACCCTAGCCCTAAAAGACAAAGATTCATCAGAATATTACAAGATTTGGGACTGTTGGTATAAATGGATTGAGTGAGGACAGACTATATAATAAACGGTATAGGTAGATTAGTAGTAGCTGCAGTAAATATATGTTCGCATTAGATATCAATTATAAATATTGCACAAAACAATATTACAAACAGGAAATCACAAACTGTCGATGTTGAAAAGTTTTTAATTTTTTCTTTGTGTTGTTCGTGTTGTTTTAATTGTAAAATTAATGAAGTTTATTAAAAAAAACTTTTCTGGTACCGGTTCTCCAGAACTGGTCAGAACCTGCTGAATACCACCTCTGCTTCCCTCCTCCCTCCCAGATATCGATGAATGTGAGGACACACCAGATATCTGCGATGGTGGCCAGTGTACCAACATCCCTGGGGAGTACCGCTGCCTCTGCTTCGATGGCTTCATGGCGTCCCTGGACATGAAAACCTGCATTGGTGAGATCATCTTGGAGGCCTCCCACCATGTTGTCTGCACTTCTTGGCGTGGGAAAGGGGAGGCCTGCAACCAGCTCCCTTCTCTTCCCCCAGATGTGAATGAATGCGACCTGAACCCCAACATCTGTCTGCACGGGGAATGCGAGAACACCAAGGGATCCTTCATCTGCCATTGCCAGCTGGGCTATTTCGTCAAGAAGGGGACGACGGGCTGCACAGGTTGGTAGGCGATTCACCGTAGGAGACGATCAGGCACAACCAGCAGGATGGCGGAGTCTAGCAAGTCATCAGCCTAGAATCGTTACGTTGCCATAAAAGTCAACTCAAAAATATTCCTCTGGTCTTTTAGAGTTCTCAGCAGAAAGGGGAAGTAGTGCATACCTCATATGCTTTCATAGATAATGCTAGGCGGCCGAAGCTTCTGGTGCACAAGATTATTACTGGGGAGCTGTCAGCTGGTGCTCCATTCAAAATCCAAGAAAGAAATACTTAGACTCCATTAATTAGAGAGAAAAAATCTTTTACTGGAAGTCAAGTGGTAGCAACAAAAGAATTCTGAATCTGAGAAAATGGGCACGTAAATCACATATACAAAGTGATGGCAACGTTCCCACCCCCAATAGTTCAATTGGCTCATCCAGTTGTGTATAGCGTCATGTGGGCATCTCCAGGTGGTGATGAGGCCTCTGTCCATTGACCTTGACATATTTTGATAAACAGTTGCGGCTGCGCATAGCATAGGATAGAAGCCTAAGCAAGAAACTCCCCCCCCCCAACTTATACAGTTCTGTTCTATAACACCTCCAGCTCACTTCCCATAACCATGTCCCCCCTCCTCCCCTCATTACTTATGGCAGCTGAAGGATGCAAAGCAAAGGAAGAAAATCTTGAAGGCTGACAGGAGCATGATGGTTGACTCTTGACTATGGATGTGTCCCATTGGAGAATATACATCCAGGGGGTGTGTTAGGGATATACACCCTAGCAGAACCTGCACGGCAGTCAGGCAGGCAGGCAAATATGTGAGATAAACATTGTTGTAGTTTACACTCAGTAAAACAGATACAATGTGCTAGTTAAATAGTTTATTCCAGTAATAGTTATAGCATAGTTAAACAGTTATAGCATAGTTAAACAGTCCATATATCATACACTAGTTCAGTCCGTCCAGGGATTAATCAGTTGCAAAGTCCAGTGTCAAAAAAGAGGTCATTAAACTTACAAATATCAGTCCAGTAATATATCTCCTCGCAGTAGAGATATAAAGAAGTCAAACCTCCTTTCTTCCTTCAGCAACAGCAAAGAACACGCAGTTAACAATCCATCATCGTCAGCAAGCAATCCAGTAAGCCAGCAATCAATCCAGTTCTCTTGCTCCCTCTTATGGCGATTTACAGCCGCACCCAAAATTACAAGCTTTGCAGTTAAAGTGACACACACTTAAACTCACTGTCATAGTTTATATATATTATTTTACCCAAACTACGTTAGGTAACCTATGTTACCTATTCAAGGTTGAGATGAATGATGTGTCTTAGAGTTGGCTGCACCCAGGTAACGCCAACATGGTCACTCCTAATAAATGATTTTTTTTTAACTCTGAGAGATGCGGCTAGAGACTCATGATTTGAATGGGAGGGGGGAATTGTCAGAGCCCGGACAATAAACAGTCCAACTCCAAAGCCTCTTGAATTGGTGCCAATTTAGTATCGAAGCTTCATTGACTCAATCAGGTATCTCCAAACCTGTCAACTTTAAATGTTGTGGACTTCCAGACTCTCAACTTTAAGATTTATGTCCCAAAGTTGTTTTTTCAAGAGGCAACTGGACTTTCTGGGGGTTGTTTTTTTCTTTTGAAGACATTTCACTTCTCCTCCAAGAAGCTTCTTCAGTTCTGACTGGATGATGAGGAATGGAAGGATTTGTATTCCTTGCAGACAGCTGGTCATTTGCATTCTTTCAGGGGATCATTGTGACCACCTGGAGGTTTGTCTGTGTCCTCAGGATTACCTGAGTGGTGCAAACAGGTGTGGAGCCTGCTTGGAACTGTTGAAAGGACTGTGTTGTAGACTGGAGATAGATGATGTCCTCATCTATCACCACTCAGGTGACCCTGAGGACACAGATAAACCTCCAAGTGTCCTCAAAGACTCAAAAGAATGCAAATGACTAGCTGTCTGGAAGGGGTATAAATCTTTCCATCCCCCACCATCCAGTCAGAGCTGAAGAAGTCTTAAGAGTTTGCAGTGACCCAACCAGCACACAAGTAAATAATTCAGCAGGATTCATTTATAGAAGAAACTTGCTTATATACAATAATATAAATCATGATGCACGTATACAATACCCATGCAGCTCTTGCAACATGGTAGCAAGTACAAGTTCCAGAAGCCAGAACCACCAGAACTCAGAATTCACAGAAGCTCTATATTTATATATACCAGTAACCCTAAGCCACACCCAGTCTCCAAGCTGTCTGACATGGGTCACAACAGGTGCTGTTTCCCATTGGCTGACTTGAAGAAGGAGAGATTTAACCTGGAAATAAGTAGAAACTTTCTGACAGTGAGAACTATCAACCAACGGAACACCTTGCCCTCGGAAGTTGTGGGAGCGCCATCAGTTGAGACTTTCAAGAAGAGATTGGACTGCCATTTGTCTCCCACTTGGGCGGGGCGGGGTTGGATTAGATGACCTACAAGGTGCCTTCCAACTCTGATTATCTGTTATCTGTTTGTTGTTATAGCTATCCCAGCTCATAATTTCTTCTATACTGGCAAGAAGCTTCTCGGACGAGAAGCGAAACGTCTTCAAAGAAAAAACAGAAAGTCCAGTTGCCTCTTGGGGGAAACAAAAAAGCATCTTTGGGATAAACATGACCTCCCTAGACATTTAAGATTTGTGGACTTCAACTCCCAGCATGCCTAGCTGAGGAATTCTGGGAATTGAAGTCTTAAAGTGGCCAAATTTTGGAAAACCCTCCGGACTAGATTCTTATAAATAAGCTTGAACAATTGAATCCTTTTTGAGCTGCCACTTAGCTTGTGGCCCTGATATAAAGAAACAGGACCTATTTAGAGATAATGGGTGAAAATCTAACTGAAAAGGGGATTCTGTAAAGGTACAAAAAAATTTTTATTACTGGTTCTGTGGGCGTGGCTTGGTGGGTGTGGCAGGGGAAGGATACTGCAAAATCTCCATTCCCACCCCACTCCAGGGGAAGGATACTGCAAAATCCCAATTTAGTTTACTTTAATTTATTCTCATAGCACCTCGAAATCAAACACCATCTTCACTGCACATCGTGACCATGAAAATAAACACAAACACACATCCTTCACACTCCACACATTGAATTGAAAACCCCCGACACCACACCAACACTGCACTATACAGTAGAATTCAACAGAGCTCCTGCCCTGGGATAGAAGCTGTTTCCACTCCACTTCAGGGGAAGGATATACTGCAAAATCCCATTCTTTCCCCACCCCCCTGGCCTGCTTTCCAGCTCCGTTCTCCTGTGCAGGGCAACCAAAGAAGACCCAGCCAATCAGCTGGGACTCGATGGGAGGCAGAGAAGAGATGGGGTTGGCGGGGCCAGTCAGAGGTGGGATTTGCTGGTTCTCCGAACTATTCAAAATTTCCGCTACCGGTTCTCCAGAAATTGTCTAAACCTCTGCTAATTGTGCCAGCTCTCTCTCTCTCTCTCTTTATCTGTGATGCTCTATAATGGGAGGAATAAAAGCCAGAGAAATTAAGGGAAAAATGAAGGAATTTGCTGGTGTGAGAAATTAAAAGACAAAAACTGTGAAGCAGAGCTGGCTCTCAATTCGCCATCAGGGCCTCCAGCCAGAAGCCCACCGGGGCAATTTTAAAAACTGAAATGCAAAGTTTTCCTGCCCAATATCATGCCCCTGTTAGAATCTGATTCCGAGGGAGAGGTGAAACAGCTGACAGGGCGTGGGAGTGTGGCTCTGGTGGCTGTAGAGGAAACTGGGGAAGGGCACAGTCCGGCTGGGCATTCAGAGGAAGACCCAGGCTCACCCCCTCTTCATCCTAGGTCACATAGGGAGGAATGGATAAGGGAACAACATGGCTTACCGGGGAGAAAATGGCCCTGATTCCCTTCATTAGCTGCAGCTGGGAAAACAGGATAAAGAGGGTGTTTGCGCACAGCTCCTTGCTGGAAGCAAAGCGTGCATTATCTTTGTTTGTCGTCTTATCTGGGTTCTGGCGTCCTCCCAACTGTGTGCGTTTCGTTATCTTTTGAAGTCTGCAATTCCTTTTCCTGCCCTGTCTCATTAATTGCTGCAGCTTGGTTTGCGTTGGTTTTTATTTATAATTTATATGTTCTTTGGGTTCGGACGGAATTTCTTCCCTTTAAAAACTGTTCTTAGGAGAGTTTTTTTTTTTTCTCCAGCGGATGATCACTGGACATTGGGGGCTAAGTTGGAGGTATTCAAGGGATTTTACCTATTATTGTGACTTTGTTGCTTTTGTGCCATCGCACCCATCAAGAACACGAGCTCACTTTTTCCTTCCACCCCACAGACATCGACGAGTGTGAAATTGGGGCTCACAATTGCGACATGTACGCTTCGTGCATCAATATCCCAGGAAGCTTCCGGTGTAAGTGCCGGCTGGGCTGGCTCGGCGACGGGCTGAAATGCAACGGTGAGTGACCAAGGTCAGGGGGAAAGCAGCTGGACATTTGTCTTGGCTCGAGGGGGGGAGGATTTGCAATCAGTCTTGTGGCCACATCTGGGGGCAAGAATTTTGGAAGCCCCAGGTCGGTTTCCCATAGGGGAATCTCTGAGCGCACAGAGTTGGTCCTTGACTTCTATTAAAAAGATGTGGCGACTCTAGAAAGAGTGCAGAGAAGAGCAACAAAGAGGATTAGGGGACTGGAGGCTAAAAACAGTGGCTGTAATCGGGGGTGTCTGGTCTAGTGAAAAGAAGGACCAGAGGAGACAGGATAGCAGGGTTCCGATATCGCAGGGGCTGCCCCAAAGAAGGGGGGGTGTCAAGCTCTTCTCCAAAGCCCCTGAAGGCAGGACAAGAAGCAACGGATGGAAATCGATCAAGGAAAAAAGCAACCTGGAATGAAGGAGGAATTTCCTGAAAGTGAGAACCATGAATCAGTGAAATGATTTGCCTCCAGAAGCTGTAGGTGCTCCAAGACTGGCAGTTTTTAAGAAAAGTTTAGACAACCATTTGTCTGAAATGGTATAAGGTCTCCTTACCTGAGCAAGTGGGTTGGACTAGAAGACCTCCAAGGTCCCTTCCAACTCTTGTTATTTTGTTAACCCCGTCTCCAGTTCTATTCTGTTCTGTTCTATTCTTCATTCTTCTGTTCTGTTCTATACTATTCTATACTATTTCTATTCTATCTTCTATTCTATTCCTATTCTTATTCTATTCTAAATTCTGTTTATTCTGCTCTATATTCTATTTTGCTCTATTCTACTCTATACTATACTATTCTGTACTATTTCTATTCTATTCTAATCTATTCTAATTCTATTCCATTAAATTCCCTTCCCTTTCCCTCCTCCTCTCTTCCCTTCCTTCCCCATTTTCTATTCTATTCTATTTTCTATTCTGCTCTGTTCTATTCTATTCTATTCTATTCTATTCTATTCTATTCTATTCTATT